CAAGGAGAACAAACCTATCAATTCTAAATGAAATCAACCCTGAGTGCTCACTGGAAGGGCTGATCCTGAAGCTGAGGCTCCAATACTTTGGCCATCTCATGAGAAGAGAGGACTCCCTGGAAAAGACCTTAATGTTGGGAAAGTGTGAAGGCAAGAGGAGAAGGGGACGACAGAGGATGAGATGATTGGACAGTGTCACCGAAGCAACCAACATGAATCTGACCCAACTCCGGGCGGCAGTGGAAGATAGGAGGGCCTGGCGTGCTCTGGTCCATGGGGTCACGAAGAGTCGGACACGACTAAACGACTAAACGAACGAACGAGGGAAGGTATTTAGGCTTGGTGAAATTTCAAACCATAAAAAGATGGTTGAATTTCTAGTAATGCATGAGGGTTTCATTGCCTCCCTAAAAATGGCTTTTAAAAACCAAATCAACTGGACCAAGAATAAAAAGCTAAAACATCAGCTTCATGACTCCCTATGTGTGAGAGAAATGGCCTATGGGTTAGCATGGATTAATTGAAAAAATGACAGCAGAGAATGAAGCAGTTATATAAGTTGTTGATAAGACATCTACTCTGGGGACAGTGATGCTTGCCTTAATTTCATCCCACTTGGATTACTGCAACACATTCTACAGTATATGAGATGCAAATTCAAAATGCTCCAACCAGACTATTGACCCGGATTGATATGCTTACAACCTTCAAAACCCTGTATACCTTCTACGTAGACTTATGATCCTGCATCTCCTCATTTAATTTTCCTCAGGTTTCAAGAACTTCAGCAGTGGACCTTTTCTCAGTCTCACCAGTCTGACAGACATGCTTTGTGAGGCCACATGAGGACCTTTTTTGTGGCTGTGGAACACTTTTCATAAAAAGGTAGGTTGGCCCCTCCTTGCTGTCCTTCTGCCAGCAGTTACAGACCTGGCTGTTCAGACAAGCATTTGACAAATGAACAGGCTACGGCGAAAGGAAGTTTTACTGGAGATGTACTTTTAAAAAGGTTTTAATTATTTTACATTAATGGTATTTTATAATTTTTATGTTTAATTTTAATACTGTAAGATTATGGATTTTTAAAAATATATATATTTTGTGTGCAGTCTTGAGTCCCTGTATTGGGGAAAAGGCTGAATATAAGTGACATAAATAAAAAACAATTAAATTTTTAAACTTTTAAATAACCCAAACAGCTATATAAGGCAAACAGACATAAATATGAAGTCACCCTTCCCCTCCCCTGCACTACTCAGAACTGAGTGAACAGTGGCATCCATCCATTTGATTGTTCAAAGTATTACACCATGCCTCCCACTGGATTTGCAGCATGATCTTACATCCCATTCTTTAGCTTCTTAAAAGTAGGAACAGAATATTTAAGCAGGAAATGGCAGCTGTCAGAGTATTATTTGTCAGGCGGGAAGACAGATACAAAAATGAATAAAAAGCCACAGGCAGTCCTGTACAACAGTCAGAAATGGTTCACAAATAGAGATGGGGGTATGCATATAGGAACAGGTGGACATAGTGAGGGTCCACTCACCCATATGCTGCTGCTGCGAGCTCCGCGCTCCCTTCCAATTGCTATGGAGCACACAGTCAACTAGCCACTCATCAGCCTGGCTTGTCTTCCCTCCTTCTGCCAGGAGTGGCTAGTTGACTGAGTTCCAGAGCAATTGGAGGGAACATGGAGCCTGCGGCAGCAGCGGACGGGTGAGTGGACGGTCTGGCCCTAGGAGAGTGGACCCTCATTATGTCCATCTGTGCAGGGGTATTCGTATACAAATACAAATATCCCCATCTCTATTCATGAACTTCTCTGGTCACGAGTTTTGAGCGAAAGTATGTCCTCCTCCTTGCATGAAACAAATGAAAAATGCATGATTACAATTTTTATTGTATTTTAAAGAGATTAATCAGCCCTAAAAAGCCAAATATTTGCTGACATGTTTCTCTCTCAATCCTGTCTCATACACATACTGTACTCCTATCTTCTTTATATTCCTTACTTTTTATCATCAATGATGCATAACAAAGGAACATCCCACTCCAGAAATGCCGTCCCCTCATATTCCAAGTATATCTAGATAGAAAATAGAAAATATAGACTGCAAAATATACAATTGATCTTGCAAATAACAATTGGAAAAGTGGAAGCTTCTATATTGAGTTCATTGGTGCTTACTCACAAAAATGTGTCTATAAGAACAGCACAACACTTCAAAAATTACTTAGTAGTATATAATTTTTATGACTTTGGACAGAACTTTAAAGACTAGCTGAAACAGTTCTAATTGTATTTTTAAAAAACACCTTAATTGGCACCATGCTCAGTTTTTTAAAAAGGCAATGGGAAGAATGTGATGTCACTAGCCTGAAAGGAAGTAGAATGTCCTTCTCTGAGTTGGCTACTTCCAACTACTTTTGAAGGAGAGTCCCAAAGAACTTTGATCCAAATGATTAAACTAAATTAGTTATTCTAATGCCTTGATTGTCCAAATGGTTTCTGGAATCACATCAAAGTGCTGGTTATTATCTATAAAGCCTTCTATGGCTTGGGTCAAGGCTATTTGAAGAATCTTATCACCCCACATGAGCTACTCAGCTTTTAAGAACTTCATGGGAGTCCCTTCTCTTGGGTTTACTTCCTACCAAGCTCATTTGGTGAGGTCATATGAAGGGGCCTTCTCAGCGGCTGCTCCCAGGCTTTGGAATGCACTGCCCCAAGAAGTCAGATTGGCTGACTTGTCTTCCCATTGTCAGGAAAAGACCTTCTTTTTCACGCAAGCTTTTAAGCAACCAAAAATTGTTGAGATGGAGTCTAGCATTGCAAGACTTTGATTTTGAGGTTCAGCATATTCCTGGAAGACTAAATGTTGTGGCAGATGGTCTTTCTCGAATGTACTGTGAAGATCCAGATGCACCTGACCGTTGAAATGTGACAGTGTTGAAATATTTCACTGTTCCTGTATACTTTGAGTAATTACTGTTTTTGTAGTAACTAACATGACTATTTTCTAATTTTCAGATAGTATATATGCTTAACCAAAAGAATGTATTTATTTGCTGCTTTTAGAATGTTTCCTACCTCAATGCTTTGCTAGATTAAGTGCAATTTTGAAGGTATTAATGTTAATCATTAGCATTTACTTTATTTAACCAATTAATTACTTTTAGCTACTGTAATTAGTTACCAAAATAAGAACAGAATTACTGTTCTGGATTTTGGGGCTCCCGGTGGTGGCATGTGATGACACAGGTCATAGAAGCCAGAAGGTAATTTCTAAAATGGGATTTGTAGTAATGAAATTAGCCAGAAGGAATCCATTTTAAGTCTGTGTCATTTTACTGGAATTCTCTAGATGCTGTTTTCTTCACAGAAGTCAGTACAGTGGTGCCTCGCTTAACGATGTTAATTGGCTCCCAAAAAACCATCGCTATGGGAAAACATTGCTAAGCGAAACACCATTTCCCATAGGAATACATTGAAAACCGGTTAATCCGTTCCAATGCGAACGGATTACCGTCCTTAAGCGAAAATCGCCATAGGAAACATCGCTAAGCGATACGTTTCCCCCATTGGAATGCCCATTGCATTCCAATGGTTTTGCGATGTCCTTTTTCACTATTTTTAAAGGGTCTTAAAATGTTCAAAAACGGTTTTAAATGCTTGGGATCGTTAGTGCACCTTGCAAAACCTGTGCAAACTTAATTTGGCTTTGTTCTGAGTCTTCGTTAATTTTTTGTGAATTTTTTCTCCCCCATTGGAATGCATTGAACTGTCGATCTGATAATTATTATCTATAAAAATAATCTCACAGGGTTGTGGCATAATTGTAGATTTCATTGATCTTAATATTGCTTAATTATGGATTATGCAAGGTCTTTAAAACAATTCTAAACATTTAAGTTAGGATAGGAAATTTGAAAGGACAAGGATAGTAATTTTCAATTAGAGCAACATTGCTACAAATGGTTTAAGCCACATTTTTCATACATTGATTGTAAACACTTACAGTAGTTCTTGTAGAAAATATAAAATAGTCTCCAGTGTTTGTTCTATACCTGAAAATAAACAAAAACATTTGCTTTTTCTCCCAAAAAGTGTTAATTGTCATTTATAAGTCAAAGGAAATTTGATGGCACATAACAACAAAGTGTTTATATTTTTAATTATCACTCAAAAGACTCAGCATATCTTAGTGTCCACTACACAGTATGCTGAAATACACGACCAAATCATGTTTCTGAATACATTAAGATCAATATTAAAATTAATGTACAACCCACAAGATCATCCCAGTCGGGGTTCCTCCAGGTGGCCATCATGAGAGTGCCCATAAATCCTCTACAAGAGGTAAGGCCCTTTTTTGCAGTGGCTCCAACTTTATTTAACCAGCTTTTGGAGGAGCTCCGTCTAGCCCCCTCCTCTGATGACATTTTCGTTGTTTAGTCGTTAAGTCATGTCCAACTCTTCGTGACTCCATGGACCAGAGCACGCCAGGCCCTCCTATCTTCCACTGCCTCCCGGAGTTGGGTCAAATTCATTTTGGTAGCTTCTGTGATGCTGTCCAGCCATTTCGTCCTCAGTCGTCCCCTTCTCCTCTTGCCTTCACACTTTCCCAATATCAGGGTTTTTTCCAGGGAGTCTTCTCTTCTCATGAGATGGCCAAAGTATTGGAGCCTCACCTTCAGGATCTGTCCTTCCAGTGAGCACTCAGGGTTGATTTCCTTCAGAATTGATAATTTTGTTCTCCTTGCAGTCCAGGGGACATTTAAAAGTCTCCTCCAGCACCACAATTGAAAAGCATCAATTCTTTGGCGGTCAGCCTTCTTTATGGTCCAGCTCTCACTTCCATACATCACTACTGGAAAAAGCATAGCTTTGACTATGCGGACCTTTGTCAGCAAGGTGATGTCTCCGCTTTTTAAGATGTTGTTTTAAGATGGTGACATTTAGGAAGCAATTAAAGATGTTGTTTCTCAGGGAGGTTTTCCACACCAATCCTAGCTGATCACTTCCCCTGCCACTTTCCTCTATCTACTCCGGTTTTATATGACTAGTCTGTGCCATCTGTTTTTAGGATTTTTGTTGTTTTAATGTTTTTTTCCCTCTTCTATATATGTTGTAAATGCCCAGAGTAGTGCTTTAGCACTAATGTGAGCGGGATACAAATTGAATGAATGAATGAATGGGAAAAAACAAATAAATCAGAAGCAAGAAATAATGTCCAACTGTTCTTTGGGTGTCAAAGGGGTTAAAACTACTTAGAGAAAAAAAGCAAGCATATGGATAAAGTTAATTTAGCAGGCAGTGGCTGAAATCCTACTGCTTCAAGTGTCCTGGAAAGCTGAATTGGAGCAATTTGGCTTTGCTGCAACTTGATTTACAGCCTGTTTTACATTTAAAATCACTGTCAGTGCTCACAGAGGGACTGCGGATTCATTCAGTTCATTGTTCATACTGGATGCGATTCACATTTCAGCCCACAGTTCCCTTCCTTCCTCTCCTCAAGCACTAATTGTATATATGTAAGACTTTTTTAAAAAATAAAAAATTTGGAGGACAAGTGGGAGGAAGGAATGCATGAGGTATTTCCCCAGTCCTGAACATCATGCTCCAACTGCCTACATCACTGAAACAACCACCTAGAGACATCCCCCCATTCTTTACAAGAATGAATCACAAAGACAAAAAAAGCCATTTTGAATCATTTTGGCCTGAAAAATTAGAAGCCCCCCAACAACAGAAAATGCTTTGGCAGCAAAATGGGCTGGATTGATTTGAATTAGACTGTGCCATGTAGTCAGTAAATAATACTTCAAATTCATCATTTTATAAGCAGAGCAAATCCTGTGGTATAATATAAGTCCCAGTAAATCCAATGGGACTTATTCCCAAGCAAGGATCATAGAAGGTACTTAGTGTGGTGTGTGAACAGAATGACAGACTGAGGAGTCCTTGGTTCAAATTGCTCAACCATGAAAACTCACTGGGGGTGTGGAACTGATAAAGCCACTCCTTAAATATCTCACTTTTAAAGTTGTATTAGGATTGCTACAGGTCAATTCTGACTTGATGGCACATACAACTATTACAAGGATCACAGGATTGGGACTGTGTTGAGTCTCATGGTCAAAACTAAATAGTGATATGGTGGAGCAAGAGAATACAGGGCTGAGTTCTTGGGTTGTTCTAAGTAGCAAGGGACTATAAAATCATCTGCACCACCCTCAGTCTTCCTGTTCACTTTGACCTTAGCTGTGACCCACATACAGTAGTAGCTGGAGGACAAACGGATCTTCCTATGAAGAGCTTACTGTTGCAAACTATACCTCTCATAATACAAAGTATTTGAGTGTAAACTGTTGAGCAATTAAGTCTACAACAGACTTAATTGCCCAACAGTCAATTGGACTGAGGGGCGATTAAGAGGCATTAACTTTACAAAAGATCTGATTGTTGATAAGGTTTGGTCCAATTGCCTTAATTTTGCACACCTTTATGGGGAGGGGGTTAAGGGAGAGGCACTCGCTATGTCCTGATGCACACCTCCAAAACTCTGCAGGAAACATAGCCTCGACTCTTCCAAGACTTTTGTTGCCATTTTGCATCAACGTAACGGTCTTTGGGATGATGCCGGCTACCACAACGTTCTGTCTTGAATCCCTTACTTAACGCGGATTCATGCTGTGGCTTCACTAGCATGAGCGACCCCCGTTACCTTTAGCTTCAACCCCCTTTCCGTTTGCCTCCGGCACCCTCCAGGTCGCCAACCCACTTAGCGCCCCCCTCCCCAACCTTGCGCCGCCCGCTCTCGCACCTCCACACGGCCCAGCATCCGCTCAACCATAAGCACAACAAGGAGACGCTGGGCACAAGCGGGAACAAAGAGCCCGCCATTGGGACCGCCCAATCAACGTCTCCAAACCGCTCTTAGCAACGGAAGACCCTCTCGCGGTCTCTCACCACGGAAGCTCAACGGCTGGCGAATCAGCAGCCACTTCCCGCGGATGGGATCAACTACATTTCCCAGAATGCCCGGCGGCAATATGGGTGGGTGACTGCAAAGCGGCCCAGGAAAGGCAGTTCTTCTGTATCTGGGTATCAAGTGGAACTCTTTTCATGGGGTGCAGCTAGCGAAGGGTGAACTTTCGTGAACAAAACAGGAAGACGATAAGGCATAGTGGCATTTTTTTGTGGTGGACTGGAAGAAAGTTGCCCGAGAAATCAAGTGCGTTGGTCCCCTTGACTGTGTATTCTGGGAGTGAGCCCCCGAGGTCGTCTTTCAGAGACAAGACAACCGTGATGCTATTGGAAATAATAGGATTGTAAGGTGAAAAGTAGATCCGCTGATACAAGAGGGACTTGTCTGTAGGTGCAAAATGAGTATCCCCGAGCTCTCTTATTCCTGACGTTAAAAAACGCTTTGTGCGAGAATGCCCACAAAACGTATGGAGTAATAAAAGTTGCTGGTTTTTCAAGCTTTTTGCTGATGTACTTTTTGGCCTCCGCCAATGTAATGGATCAGGATTCGGGACCACTTGTTTCCTGAAGAAAATACCCCTCCCCTCTTGCTAGTATTATATCTAAAGTGTTTAAGACCGCCCACGGTATGATGCTAACTGTGTGAATGGTTAGTTCTTTCATGTAGTTCATATGCAAGAAACCTTGGAAAGAGTTGAAAAAGGACTTTTGATTAGTCCATGGCATTTCCAGGTAGGGTTGGAAAATACTTGTAACTGAAACCCTAGTGAGAAATTTCCAGTGGCCATGTGCCATGATTTATGGGTTTTCCATTTTAACTTTCAACCCTACTATGGTGTTTATTGTGCTTATCAAGAATTATGGAGAGAGATAGATGTATGTATAAAAATGACTTAAATCCAGTAGTAAGTTGCAAGTAGAGTAGGCTCACTTAATTAATAGAACAGTGATTCACAGTGTTTATCTGGAGGCTCTGCAGGTTTTACCTTCTTTTATTTTACTTATTTACTTTATTTATTTTAACTACTTCACTTTATCTACTATATTCCATTGGCTGCCTTGATGTATCCAGGAGCCGGGGGGGGGATTTGTTGTCATTTGCTGTCATTCCTCATTATCTAACTGAGAAACTCCAGGTCATATCATATCTTGAAGACTGGCAGAAGGTCTGTAATTCTCCGGGCCTGGGCGATAAGGACATTTTGTTTAACTTAAAGCTTACAAAACAGGCTGATACTCCCCCCCCCTTTTCCTGCTAGTCATTCAACGGCCTTGAGGACTAGAGAAGTTTGTTCATATGGAGCTGGCAGAATCTTTGGAGCTGGACTTGACTCTTTCTCTCCCAGCGCTGCATCGGATTAAGAAAACATTGGATTAAGAAAACAATTACCATTACACCTATTTCCGATATACACAGATGCAGGGAGGCCCCAGCTTTGTACCAGAAGCAGCTTTGGAACAGAGATGTTATTATCTCCCCTTAAACTTCCCTGAAGATATATCACTAACTAAATTCATAGGAGGGAACATAACTCGCTAATGGGGAAGGTGCGACAACCCAAAATTACAGACTTTCTGATATCCCAAGAGCCCTCCAAATCCAGAGTAGTTCCCTCATCAGTTCCTTTATCAGAGAACAAAGGTGATCGCCTCTCAGCATATGGGGAAACATCTCAAACACCACAAATAGATTTACCAGAATATTTTCTCAAGGATGAGCAGACTCTGGGAGGTGAGCTTTTAAACAGCAGTCAGCTTAATAGTACAGTGTATATGGACTTCGGCAATTTAAGGAAATCTGATTTTATGTTCCCCCCCATCATATTATCAGAGAGCCCGATTAAGGGCCCAGCAGTTGCTAACCTCAAAGGGAGCCCAATAACACCCTGGCCTGATCAGAGCCCTCCATTAGAGAAGCGCCCATTTACAAAACTACTACATTAGTCAAAGGTTCGTACTCCTTTAACTTCCCTTATAGCTACTCCCACAGTCATTCAAGCACATCAAGATAAGTTAACCACAGCCAGCGAAGACAATGTCGGCTTGATGCAGACATCCCTAGTGGAAATTAGAAATACTCCTCAAGAAATTAAACAACTTGTGACTGTTATGTTGGGCGATCTGACAAAAACTGAACACCCCGCAATGACCCCAGAAGGTCTTGCAAGGCAGATAAAGGAGGACAGTTCCACTTATGACCCAGGGCACATGGACTGTTACAGTCTATATCCAGAAACTATAAACAGAATCGCTAGGCTGTCCCTGGAGGAGTCGCTCTTCATGACCCATGGAGCATGCCAGGCCCTCCTGTCTTCCACTGCCTCCCGGAGTTGGGTAAAATTCATGTTAGTATTTTATATGACACTGTCCAGCCATTTCGTCCTCTGTCATCTCCTTCTCCTCTTGCCTTCACACTTTCCCAACATTAGGTTATTTTCCCGGGAGTCTTCTCATGAGATGGCCAAGGTATTGGAGCCTCAGCTTCAGGATCTGTCCTTCCAGTGAGCACTCCAGATAGATTTCTTTCAGAATGGATAGGTTTGTTCTTGCAGTCCAGGGGACTCTCAAGAGTCTCCTCCAGCACCACAATTGAAAAGCATCAATTCTTTGGTGGTCAGCCTTTATGGTCCAGCTTTCACTTCCATACATCGCTCCTGGAAAAACCATAGCTTTGACTATGTGGACCTTTGTCGGCAATGTGATGTCTCTGCTTTTTAAGATGCTGTCTAGGTTTGTCATCGCTTCCCTCCTAAGAAGCAGGCACCTTTTAATTTCGTGGCTGCTGTCCCCATCTGCAGTGATTATGGAGCCCAAGAAAGTAAAATCTGCCACTGCCTTCTTATCTTCCCCTTCTATTTGCCAGGAGGTGATGGGACCAGTGGCCATGATCTTAGTTTTTTTGATGTTGAGCTTCAAACCATTTTTGCACTCTCCTCTTTCACCCTCATTAAGAGGTTCTTTAATTCCTCCTCACTTTCTGCCATCAGAGTGGTATCATCTGCATATTGGAGGTTGTTGATATTTCTTCCGGCAATCTTAATTCCAGTTTGGGATTCCTCCAGTCCAGCCTTCCGCATGATGTATTCTGCATATAAGTTAAATAAGCAGGGAGATAATATACAGCCTTGTCATACTCTTTCCCAATTTAGAACCAATCAGTTGTTCCATATCTAGTTCTAACTGTTGCTTCCTGCTCCATGTATAGGTTTCTCAGGAGATAGATAAGGTGGTGAGGCACTCCCATTTCTTTAAGAACTTGCTGTAGTTTGCTGTGGTCCACACAGTCAAAGACTTTTGCGTAGTCAATGAAGCAGAAGTAGATGTTTTTCTGGAACTCTCTGGCTTTCTCCATAATCCAGTACATTTTAGCAATTTGGTCTCTAGTTCCTCTGCCCCTTTGAAATCCAGCCTGTACTTTTGGGAGTTCTCGGTGCACGTAGTGCTTAAGCCTACCTTGTAGGATTTTGAGCATAACCTTGCTAGCGTGTGAAATGAGTGCAATTGTACGGTAGTTGGCGTATTTTTTGGTACTGACCTTCTTTGGGATTGGGATTTCCAATCCTCTGGCCACTGCTGAGTTTTCCAAACTCACTGGCATATTGAGTGTAGCACCTTAACAACTATTTAAGATTTTAAATAGTTTGACTGGAATGCCATAATAATAATAATCAATCTAATTTCAGTATTGCCCATCTGGTGATGTCCATGTGTAGAGTTGCCTCTTGTGTTGTTGGAAAAGAGTGTTTATGATGACCAGCTTGTTCTCTTGATAAAGCTCTATTAGCCTTTGCCCTGCTTCATTTTGGACTCCATGGCCAAACTCACCTTTTATCTCTTGACTCCCTATTTTAGCATTCCAGTCCCCTCTAATGAGAAGAACATCTTTCTTTGGTGTCAGTTCTAGAAGGTGTTGTAAGTCTTCATAGAATTGATTAATTTCAGCCTCTTCAGCATTGGTGGTTGGTGCATAAACCTGGATTACTGTGATGTTGAAAGGTCTTCCTTGGATTTGTATTGAAATCATTCTATCATTTTTTGAGATTGTATTCCAATACACCTTTTCCCACTCTC